CGGCGGCGGCGATGGCGGCAGCGCGACGGCAGCGACAGCGGCAGTGATGGGTGCCGGAGACCGTGGAGTTGACTGGAACTATTCCTGTGCTCTAGATACCATATGAGAAATAGGGAAGATTGGGAGAAAATATCCCTTGTGTGTTTTGCATACACATAGGGTAATTTATTTATATTGTAAGATATGGGCCAATGCCCTTAATACATAATAGACTAAGCCCAAATAACAGAAACACACATCTTAACATCTAACAGCAAGCATGACAAATAGTTCCACTAGTTCATGTGCTTCTTGAGTTTGAGGTACCGGGACACGCAGAAGGCGAGTGGTCAATGTTTCCCTGAAGGGGACCTCATGACTAGTCAGAAGTTGATATCTGATATGATCAAAATCTGGATGTAGGGCAGGAAGGCAGGAAGGATCAACACCATGTAAATTTGTCTAGTTTCTTCTTGTTATCCTCTAATGAGTCTATTTCCAAAAACATTCGTAGTTCTTCAATAGTAGATTGGGCTTCAGTCGTGAAGGACACCATATCATGGTCTACCATTTTAAGAGATGCGAGTTTGTTTGCCGTGTCATAAAGACGTTGAATATCGTTGGCATAAATTCTTTGAGCTTTCTTTCAAAAGGAGTGACAAGTTTTGAAAATTCTCAGAGATATAAGAAGTTTGGGTTCCACGGATTGCCCTAATAGGGCACACAGATGGAAATCTGCTTGTTTCCACTGATCAACTTTTTCAACAGGCACATGGCTTCCATCTCGGTCAAGGTGGTCATAATGCCCTTGGCCAAGGAACCACATTTCAACGGCAACAGACCATGATAGATAGTTTTTTCCATTTAGCTTCTCGGAAGTAATTGATGGACTTCCAGAAAATGAAAGAGCATTGTCAGATGCCATCTCTGAAGAAAAAATAAACGCAACAGCAAAACAACATTGAAGAGGAAAACTACGGACAGAGGCAAACGGCACCAATCACCGGACAGATGCCACGAGACAAAAAACAAAGCAAGATCGACCCGCTCTGATACCAAGTTAAGAAGTGGATTTTAAGCCTAACTCAACCCCACAAAACCGGCTTGTAAGGTGAGGTTTGCACTCACTTATATACTATAAATTGGCCTTATCTCTAGTGATGTCGGACTTCCAACACATAGACCTTTTGTGTCTAAGACCAAAAATTTTATAATGGAAGCTAATAGAATTCTAAGGTTTCACGGCAAAGTTTGTGTACCAGCAAATGTAAAATTGAAACACATGATTTTTTGAGGAATGATGATGAGCGCGTGACTCCTCATGAGAGCATAGAGGCCCTTCCTAGAAACATCACTAGGAGCATGACTAGAAGGGAGGCCTCTACTTCACCTACTTCTTTGACATTATTTAATATTTCTCTTTGTGTTTAGTTATGTTGACTTTTATCCCTTTGTTTGATCATTGTGAGTAGAGCTCTTTTCTTGAGTGTCTTCTTTTCTTAGTTTTATCTTGAGTTTCTAAACTCAAGTCGAAGCATCACCACTAATCTCGGGTAGCTTAGTAACCCAAGTAGCGTGACCTCCCTTCTTTCCCTTCCTCTATCTTATATTCCATCTTTGTTCCATTCAATTTCATGTTCTTATTCATTATGCTCTTTATAATACATGCCCATTTCATGTTCTAGTTCATTTACGTTATTCTTCTACTTAATTGAATCCTCTTCTCTCTTTTGAACCCTAGGAAGCGAACCTTCACATCTAGATAACCTCTTGGTTATCTTAATGTCCAATGAGAATCTTCCTTGGGTTTTCTTAATTTAAACACCATATTTAGACAAGCTAAAATGGATCCTTATCAAATGAAATAAGAGTCGTTACAGCATGCATGCCGGAATGACTAAAATGTTCAAGGATCTTAAAGAATAATCTTTTTGATGGTTTGGTATGAAAAGAGATGTCATTGAATTGTTGCTTCTTGGATGTCAAAAAGCCAAAGTTGAACATCAAAATCTAGGAGGTATGTTGCAGTAGTTGGATATTACTCAATGAAAGTGGGATAGCATTTTCATGGATTTAGTTACTCACTTAACAAAGTCTGTATGTGGGCATGATGCAATATGAGTGATAGTAGATTAGGAGAGTGTCTAAGTGCAGGAGGTTCGTATTTGTAAGTTTTAGGGAAAAGGAGCACAGAACAGCTAACCAGCCTACCCTTCAAACCCAACTTATGAAATAATAATAATAATAATAACAATAATAAAAAAAAGAAAAAAACACAACTAGTACAAGCAGCAGCTGCAGAGTTAACCACAAAAAAACAAAGTACCATTACTGCTTACAAACCTCAGAAGTATACAAGAAGCTTTTTGAATGTTGCTCGCCTAATAACTCCCGGAACGATGAGGTGATTTTACATGGTGAGTGAAGGCATCTATCTGTATAAAGAGCAAATATCATTAGTGAATATATTTAAAATAAAAATTTATAGAGAACGTGCAATTAACCACATAAGACTATTTGCATCTCCCTTTACCCAACACAGATATTGTTCATAATACATATGATCATGAATTAAACTCGACCAGTTTACTGGTCCTATCAAGTGCTAAACTAAGTGTATTCCTCAAAACTGGGCCAGAATTAAAAACTGAAAAAAGGAAGAATTATGAGACTACTCCAGCAAAAATATCAACATCCACCCAACACAAGACAATGTTCCATTAATTTACAAAGCAGTAAGTTTTTAGGAACTTGAATATTATGCAGTTCCTCAGTTCCACATTGAGTACGGGTTTCTGGGTACACTATTTAAGTGTCTGGTTTTTTCCGCATAAAAGTTTGGTTTTTTCTTCTTAATAGCTAGTTATTGAGGGTGGTTATTAGATACTCGTCAGTTGGCATGAGCACCGATTTGAAAAGAGCTACCAATGGAGAGTTTTGAATGGTGGAGGATTCTAACCAGAAGTGTCATCGTGTAAACTGCCATATAGTAAAAGTTGCCAGGATGTCATTTCTTAAGGGTGGTCCTATGATAGAAAGAGGGAGCACGCATGATCAAATTTATGCTAAAACAGTAAAATATGAGAACATTATGCAACCTTCTGTTCTTTTTAACAATGAAAAAGCTTCTGATCTGCATGTAGTGAAATTCCCAGCTGGTTGAAAGATTGCATGTTTTACATAACTTGCATTAGAGATATGAGGGTACTCATACCCTCTAGGAATGCAAGGATTCGCGATATTTCTTTTGCTAGACTTTGACGCTGCAAAAACAATATACAAATACTAATTTCAATTATTCAAGTATACAAAACAAAGTATTTTGTAGCATATTTTCTTTAGAACTTACACATCCCAAGTACAAAATATATTCATCATTGAATAATAGTTTTATTCCAAGTCTATTCTATACGCACAAACTAGTTTAGAAAAATTTAGTCCCTCAATTATAGTTTAGATAATATACTATGGAAGTAATTGAATTACTCTTCACTACTATGTGAACCAAAACATCATTCACTGTTACTTCAGACCTTTTGCACATTAAAATATACACAATAATTTCCAATCTCAAATTTAAAGAGGAAAAGATATCATCTCTTAAGTTAGAGATTACACCGAAGAAAAATGTTTATTAACAGATAAAAACAGTAACTCATACTTACAAAGCTTCAATTCTCTATATCTCAGTCTCTCCTCTAATGATTTCCAGACCACATCCTGTACAAGGATTTTAGATTTGGTTAGAATAGAACATGGCATGGATAACTTTGCCAAACATAGGCAACAGATATTTGATTGAAACAAATAGTTGTAACAACAGAAAACACAATCAACAAACCTTTAAGAAACTTTTTAAAATAAAATATACCCATCAAAGATATGTTAGAAAGGTAAACTACAAAAACTGGTAGTTAGGCCACAGAAATAAATAAAGTTTGGAAGGTTTAGTTTCGAAAGCTGGAACAATAATAATAAAAGGAAGGCTTAATACCTCTTTTGGTCCCTCTTTAAGGGGGCAATGTTCAAGTCCGTCCTACCTTTTTTAAAAAGTTCAATGTGGTCCCAACTTGTGAAAAAAGTGTACAATTAAATCCTTTTTGGTCACTGCGTTAAATATTTAACGATGAAACTGCTCCTCTGGACTAAACTTGATGAGCTGTTCATTTTTTTCTCTTACGTGGCATGGTGACGTGTCAATTTTGAATTTAAAAAAAAAAAATTGCTTGACACATCATCTTCTTCTTCCACCTCCACCAATCCTGAATTTAGGGTTTCTTCTCTCACATCCTTGGAGAGGTACCTGAGGTCCTCTGGCAAACCATTTGCAGTGAGGATTTTCTTCTTGCCAATTCTGTCAGGACCCACAAACAGTACCTGATTTTCTTCTTGCCTCTAATTTGAGTTCAATATCTGATTTCTCAGTTTCTTTCAACATTTGTGCTACTTCTCGCTCGCAGTTCTGCATACATTGCGGGCAACAAATTGATACAGCATCAGGATCTACGTTCTCAGAGCCACGCCTCAATGGAGAGATCGTTGTAGTTGGCAAGGTCTTTAACGGGGATAAAGACCGGTGAAATAAAATCGAGAAAAGAACAGAAACAAAACAGAGTTAACATATCAGGTAAGATTCATTTACCAACTACAATCCCAAGTTTAATCAATTCCATGAAAGAAAATGCTTTATCTCCATTCCATTAAACACGAAACACTAATCTTTATCATTTAATCTGATCTTGCTATGGAATAACCAGGGAAATAAGATTTTGGAGAGAGATCATCGGAGTTGGAGTGGAAATGGAGGTGGGAGCCAGCGGAATCGGAGTGGGAGGGAGAGGCGTGCTTGGAAAGCTAGTAAGTTTTGTGGGGAGGAGAGGGAGAGGGGGAGGAAGAAGGAGACGGCAGCACATGACTCTGAGTGTCGTGGTGGACAAAGGAGTGGAGGGAAGAAACCCTAAATCCACGGTTGGTGGAGGTGGAAGATGAACCTGATGTGGACTTTAATGAAAATCACAAGTTTACCCCTTAACAGCCACGTTGCACAGATCACTCCACGCTGTCAGCTGGATCGTTAAATATTTAACGCCGTGACCAAAAAGGATTTAATTGTACACTTTTTTCACAAGTTGGGACCACATTGAACTTTTTAAAAAAGATAGGACGGACTTGAACATTGCCCCCCTAAAGAGGGACCAAAAGAGGTATCAAGCCTAAAAGGAAGGAACCACTTGAAAGAGAGCTTGATTCCTTACATGTTCAGTTTAAATTATCCAACATGATATAGATCTATTCTTGCATTTTACTTTCCAATTTCAGTATGAGTTCCTAATACTGTGTGACTATGTCAAGGTACAATAAATAATGAGTATACTATGCTAGAAAATATTCATGTACTTGAAATATGTAAGGAAATAAATAATTTTTTTACTGATCACAATTACACCAATTCGTTATTTACAAGATGTGGAAAATAAGACTGATTTATTATTCTCAATCATAATAAATACATTCTCATACCCTCTATTTGTAATTGTTGAAATATGCTGTATTGTATAATTGGACTATATAGGACATCCTTGTGTAATAGAAACTAGACACAATGCAATAATATTTTCATCATTAGATTTTCTCTCCTAAACTTTAACATGGTATCCAGAGCAGGTTAGGGTTTGCCGTTAGCACCGTCGCTTCCGCCGTCGTCGTCGCCGTTGCAGCCTTTTCTCCGGCGAAGTTAAGGGTTCGGTGCACCTCGACGAGCGCGACCCATCCCTGGTGGTCGCCGCCTCATCCCTCTCCCGACACGCCGTCACGCGTCGTTTCTTTCCGACCTCTCTCGGGCGCGTGGGCTTCACGTGTCGCCTCTGCCGTGTCGGATCTTCACCGCGCCATTGTCGGTCGTTTCGCCTCCGTCTCCTGAGTGTATTGTGGTCTCTGATTTGCTGTTCCGTTGAGGGTTGCTCCGTTTAGGGTTTCTTCCCACAATCCTTTTTCCCCTCTTTTCTGGTTTGGCTTTATAATGGCTGGTCTTGGAACACCGTCTCTCTCTGCTACTCCAACCATTACTTCTGCAAAACTGGGGACAAAATAGGGTATTAAGCCTTGGAAAAACTATCTATCTTGGTCTTCTTCCGTGGAGTTATGGTTTCTTGGTCAAGGATACCATGATCATCTTGAACAAGATGTTTCCATCGTTCCTGAAGAAGAGAAATCTTAGGGGGAGTCTGGGTTAGTTTGTAAAATACGTCGTTCCCTCTATGGCTTGAAACAATCACCTCGTGCTTGGTTTGGTAAATTTAGTCGGGTTGTGCAAAATTTTGGATTGAAACGATGTGAGGCGGATCACTCAGTGTTTTATGGTCATTTTTCTCCTGACAAATGTGTTTATCTCATGGTGTATGTTGATGATATTGTTATTACAGGGAATGACAACACTATAATTACTCAATTAAAGAATCATTTGTTCAACCACTTTCAGACTAAAGATCTGGGTCGTCTAAAATACTTCCTTGGTATTGAAGTGGCACAGTCAAAAGAAGGTGTCATCATTTCACAAAGGAAATATGCTCTTGATATTTTAGAAGAAATAGGCTTGACAAATTGCAAGCCTATTGATATGGACTCAAATCAAAACCTAATGAGAGCTCAAGGTGAACCTTTCTCAGATCCACAGAGATATAAAAGGCTGGTTGGAAAACTCATGTCTTACAATAACAATACCTGATCTTTCTTATCTAGTGGGAGTTGTGAGTCAATTTATGCAGAATCCACATGTTGACCATTGGAATGCAGTGATTCGAATTCTCAGATACATAAAAGGAAATCCATGACAGGGATTGTTGTATGAGGACAAGGGAAGCACTCAGATTGAAGGATATTGTGATGCAGATTGGGCTGGTTCTCCAATTGATCGAAGATCTACTACAGGATATTGTGTTCTACTTGGAGGGAACCTTATATCTTGGAAAAGTAAGAAACAAAGTGTTGTTGCTAGATCTAGTGCTGAAGCTGAATACCGATCTATGGCTTTGACTACATGCGAACTTGTGTGGATCAAGCAACTTCTCCAAGAGTTGAAATTTTGTGGAAATGAGTCGTTGAAACTGTACTGTGACAACCAAGCAGCCCTTCATATTGCCTCCAATCCAGTGTTTCATGAGAGAACAAAACATATAGAAATTGATTGTCATTTTATTAGAGAGAAGTTGTTGACTAAGGAACTTGTTACTGAGTTTGTCAATTCTAATGAACAACTCGGAGACATTATGACCAAATCTCTAAGGGGGCCTAGGATTCAATTTATATGTTCCAAGCTTGGTGCATATGATCTATATGCTCCAGCTTGAGGGGGAGTGTTGAAATATGTTGTATTGTATAATTGGACTTTTAGGTTTGGGCTTTTAGGTGCTGGACCATTGTTCCTTATATAGGACATCCTTGTGTAATAGAAACTAGACACAATGCAATAATATTTTCATCATTAGATTTTCTCTCCTAAACTTTAACAGTAATAATCTAATTTTCCTAAAAAGGGAAATAGGGAAACTAGGAAATCTAGGAAAATAAAATAAAATAAAAGATTATGTATCTATTTCCTCTAATTAGAAAGATTCTAAAGATATTATCTCAAATTACAACACAAAACAACCCCTCAAATTGCTAAATGAATATCAATCATTCCTAAGTTACCTACATCCAAAAATCCACCTTAAGAAAGCCTCCTAGAGCGGGACATGAGAGTTGTAACCACAAGAACTTTGTCAAGATTATCTGTCATGATGTGTCAGTCAATTTCAATATTTTGGTCCCATCATGTTATAATGGATTATAGGCAATGCTTATGGCTGAGTTGTTATCACAATACCATTGCATAAGGTTGCCTTTCTCTATGATTATAGACAATCCTAAAGAGTAACCATTTTTCTAAGCTTGACTTATTGAAGAATTTTATCAACCACTTGCATATGCCTTTCTCTATGATTATGCCAAATTGGCTTACATGAAAGCGCTTTGTCTAATAGACACCAGTTTTCATAAACAACATATCTCGTAAGACGCAAGTGTTTCATCTAATGAGTAAAATCTTTGTCAAATGATAAAACAACAGTATTAAGCTAACATTGTAAGATTTAAAATATCTTTTATGCTTATTTTATTCTGCAACAAAGATTGTTTTCATGTCACGTTCATCAAGAAGATATCAAAAAGCTCATGTTTACAACAACAATCTCTTGAAAGACAAGTTAAAGCAGCTTCACACGGACAACCATCCTGACATGCCTCTTTGTCAACTCTGCAAAGGAGATCTGCTTTGCATGGTCTTGTGCATTACTCCAGATTGGATAAAATCTCTCTAAACAAGGCCTAATAAGTTGAGCCATATATATTGGGATGTTTCTTGAAGAGGTTAATGCTAATTGAAGTATGTTCAATGCATCTCTACATTATGCATGGAAATGCTAGTTGAGGAAGAACTTCTCTGAAGAAAAAGGCAAAAAGAATTTGCAATGACTACTTTCTTTAGTTTTCAATACAAAGAATATCCTCATGCTAAAGAAAGATTGACAAAGACAATAATGTATGATATCAAAGCTTCAAGAGAAAAATCTATGTGCCCTAAGAACATTGTTAGTGTTCATCCACAGCCTAAAAACGTGAACCTTGTATTCGTCTCAGGATGTAACATCACTTTTATTTAGCAACCCAATAATCTTTTAGATCCATCTCTTTGTAAGCAAAAGTGTTTTAGCTAGGAGTGATTGTTGTTCAAATAATACTCGTTTTTTTAGCCAAGAGTGATTGAGTTGAAAACAATACTCAGGTTTTAGCAAAGAGTGATTGTTGTTCAAATAATACTTGGATTTTTAGCTAGGAGTGGTTGCGTTTCCAAATAATACTCGAGTTGTTTTAAATAGGAGTGTCAAAGGTCCAAAGAACAGTGGTTTGTATCTTCTTAGCATTAATCTGCTTAGTGGAACTTGATCAACTTGATCAAGAACTGGACATAGTCAGAGTCAGAGTTTACAGACGAACGAATACAAAAATACCAAGTGCAAATCTTTCTTTTCCCTAATCTCATTTATATTGCATGTATTGAATCCATTCTTACAAAAGAAGGAGTGCTTTTACAAACTAAGTTCATGAAAAGATTTGATAGATCACCTGTCAAAGGAAAATCTGCGTCTGACTGTAAATCATCAGACGCTGCATTTGCAAAAATTACCAAATGGTTTTAATACACAATTCAACCCTCCCTTGTGTACTTGACCTGTTTCCACACTTCATTTCATCAGAGCATTGGTAGATAAGTAATACAAATTTGATATCATATACTAATAAGCATCATCCAAAACATTTAAATTTAAAATAAATGTAACTGGTTTCAAACATCAGAAAAATCTGAATGGCACCTGACCCAGTTGTGGCAAACTCCATGTGTAAAGGTTGTATGTAACCCTGGACAATCTTATAGTTCGCAAAGTGTGAGCTAAATCTGCATTAAGTTTAGTCGATGTAGCCTGCAAATATCAATATAAAGTTCAAAATCTATTCAGAAATTGATCAGATATGCTCGTACAAAATAATTTATTTTGAATACAATCGGGAAGTTTTCGTATTATAGAATAAACAAGTGAAAGTTGAGCTAAAAGGAGACTAAGATATCTCCAAAACAAAAAAGCCACAATGAATATTAAGAAAAAATGAAATCAACATTGTAATTGTACATTAGGTGACCTTTGATTAATCTATAAAGCTTGTAACACTGATAGGATATGTAATGTATTAGACAGTTTATAGGCAGTTATTAGATAGTTTGGCAAAAATAAAACATAGAAGTTAGTATGAAGTGGTTAGGGTAGTTATGAGGAATTTAAATAGCAGTTAGGGGAAGTTTTAATTAGTACTTACATAGTTTTTGTTTTGTCTTTTAAGGAGGGGGGTGTTCTAGTTCTGTGTAGAAGGGAATGTTTTCCCTTTGATGTTGTTGAATGTTTTTTATATTTTTTATTCAATAAACTGCTACCTCACAGTGAGGTTTCTTGTCTCTGTTTGTGATTGTTTAATTTGAGATAGAATTTAGGTTTCTTGTCACCAAGAAACCTAACAAATTGGTCCAACCAGCTGCATCAAGAAGAAGGGAAAGCATGGAAAGAAGCTTCAAAATAAGATATGGAGGGTTTGAGAGGAAAAAGAAGAGTATGAGAGGAGGTGAGGGGAGGTGAGGGGAATTAATGAGAACTAACTGTAATAACAGTTAGGGGGCGAGAAATGAGCTCATATAAATAGAGCTGATGTATCTTTGTACAGTTTCAGTTTTGAGTATTCTTTGTGTAGACAAGACTCTTTTATCCTGTGGAGGGGGAATTAGGCTCCCTTGGAGGTTTTGGGTATTGTACAGACTGAAGAGAAATCAATACAGAGTCAATCTTTTGCAATTTGTGTTCTTGTTTGGTGTGTGTGTTGAGTTTAGATAGGTTTCATACTCATAAACCTATCTGTGAGAAATAGGGAAGATTGGGAGAAATATCCCTTGTGTCTTTTACATTCACATAGGATAGGTTATTTATAATGTAAGATATGGGCCAATGCCCTTGGGATGAGCCCAATTAACAAAAACACATATCTAAACATCTAACACTCCCCCTCAAGCTGGAGTATATAAATCATATGTTCCAAGCTTGTTACAAAGATAATCAATTCTAGGTCTTCGTAAGGACTTAGTGAATATGTCTGCCAACTGGTTGCTTGAGTTAACGAACTCAGTCTTGATATCTCTGGATATGATTTTTTTCTCGAATAAAATGACAATCAACTTCAATGTGCTTGGTTCTCTCATGGAAGACAGGGTTAGAGCTAATATGGAGAGCAGCTTGATTATCACATATAAGTGTCATGTGAGTGACATCTCCAAATTTCAATTCACTAAGTAATTGTTTAAGTCACACAAGCTCGCAAGTAGCTGATGTCATAGCTCTATATTTTGCTTCTGCGTTGGACCTTGCCACAACACTTTGCTTCTTACTTTTCCAAGATATCAGGTTGCCACCAATAAAGACACAATAACCAGAAGTAGATCTCCTATCGGAAGGGGAACCAGCCCAATCAGCATCTGAATAGCAAACGATTTTTGTATC